AGATGATACAAGAATGTGTAAAACATACAAAGGCAGGCACCATGATCGGATCTGAGGGAAGACCTCACCAGGATATTTCCATCTTTTCCCTAACCTTGCTACTCTAGTTGCCCATTGCTTATACCCTCACATCCTTCCAAAGTGTATACATGATGAAAACGATAATTGTGATAAGATTAAATTCTTTCTTACCTAAGTCCACTTCCTCAGATTTGGGGGTGGGGAGACAAAAACCAGCAAAAGAAAATAATCAGAAAAAAAAAAACAACCACTAGCAGATATTTTGTCATAAATGCGAAAGACTGGGCTATGTTTTCCTCAAATATCTGCCTAGACAATGTGTAAGAGAGAAAAGAGAAAAGAAGAGAAGAGAAGAGAAGAGAAGAGAAGAGAAGAGAAGAGAAGAGAAGAGAAGAGAAGAGAAAAGAAAAGAAAAGGAAAGAAAAGAAAAGAGAAAAGAAAAGGAAAGAAAAGAGGAGAGGAGAGGAGAGGAGAGGAGAGGAGAGGAGAGGAGAGGAGAGGAGAGGAGAGGAGAGGAGAGGAGAGGAGAGGAGAGGAGAGGAGAGGAGAGGAGAGGAGAGGAGAGGAGAGGAGAGGAGAGGAGAGGAGAGGAGAGGAGAGGAAGGAAAAGAAGGAAAAGAAAAGAAAGAGGGAGGGAGGGAGAAAGGAAAGAAGGGAGGGGAAAAAAGGAAGGAAGAAAGGAAGGAAGGAAGGAAGGAAGGAAGGAAGGAAGGAAGGAAGGAAGGAAGGAAGGAAGGAAGGAAGGAAAGAAGGAAGGAAGGAAGGAAGGAAGGGAGGGAGGGAGTGAGGGAGGGAGGGACAGCATACACTCTATTAAGAAGCCCATGGAGCTGACAAGACAACACTGCACTCACTGTCTTGCCACCTACACAGGTACACAACATCTTGTCAGTTCACTGGCTCACTCCTCAGTACAGAAAACCAGAGTGCCCTGTTGATGGCACCTCCAAAGCAGTCTATCAAACCTGGACTTGGTCTCATTATCAGACTATTTGCTCTTCATAGACATGGGTGTATTGCTGAATTTATGACTAATCGTATTAATTGCTATGAATATACAACAAAGCTATCATAATTAATTAGTTACTTACATTCCTCTTCGTTTTCTTAGACACCATACTGTCCCTCACAGAAGGATCTAGCGTTAGAAATATAACCATATCACATGCCAATACCCACATTGCTAGAAAGCAAAACATCCATCCAGACAGACCCTGCCACCGAATTCCAGATCCTGTCATATATAAAGAGGATTCAAACAGTTTATGGAAAACCAAAAGTTAAAGAGAAGCTTATTTTTGTGGGCCCAGCGGCGTGGCCTAGCAGCTAAAGTTCTCGCCTTGAACGTGCCTGGGATCCCATATGGGCGCCAGTTCTAATCCAGGAAGCTCCGCTTCCCATCCCACTGGCCTGGGAAAGCAGTTGAGGATAGCCCAAAGCCTTGGGACCCTGCACCCACATGGGAGACCTGGAGGAAATTCCTGGCTCCTGGCTCCGGATGGGCACAGCACCAGCTGTTGCGGTAACTTGGGGAGTGAATCATGGGGAGGAAGATCTTCCTCTCTGTCTCTCTTCCTCTGTATATCTGACTTTGTAATAAAAATAAATAAATCTTTAAAAAAAGAGAAAGAGAAGTTTATTTTTAAATTAATTCTTTTTTTCTTTAAGTTTGCACAGAGTTTTGGAAGAGACTTCTCTGCACGGTCTCAGCTTTTGTTTTCATTTTGGTTTTTAATGAACTAAAATAAACTTATCTTTAATTACATTTTCATGACATTTTACTTTATTTTGGGGGGAAATCCTTCTCATCCATTCTCCTTTTTTTAAGTTAGATTATTTGTTTTTCCATTCTTGAATTTAAAATTTCTTTACATATCGTTGGCATAAAATCCTCCTGATACATGCGATTCACATCTCTTTGGCTTTTTGATGGGATCCTTGAAAGCATAAAGCTTCTTAATTTGGATGAAGGTAAATTTATTCTTCTTTTGCTCACATTCTTAGAATCACACATGAGAATTCTTCACCTAGTCCAAGTTTTAAAACTTCACCCCCAGACTTATATAGCTTTAGTTCTTACATTTATAATCCATTTTCCATTAATTTTGAATATGCCATGACATGTTGGTTCACCTCCATCCTTTTTCGGATGTGGACATCTAGTTGCTACAGCACCGTTGGTTGAGAAGACTGTTCTTTTCCTCCAATGAACTATCATGGCATTCCTCCCTCTTCAGCCAAGTCTTGCTGTATTTTCCAGTGATTAGGCCTTACTCGACCTGACAAATCTCAGAAGCATATGTAAGAGTCTTCTGTATTTACTATAGGTAAGTTTAGACAACCATCTACACTTACAAACACTTATCAAGTATCATCCATGTACCAGGCAATATTTTGGGTACTCACATATAGCTGCCACAGGGCAGCAAGTCCTTGGGGATGATCAGGAAAGAAAAGGCAAAGTGCCAAAGACGCTTTAAGGAACAGAGAGCAGAAAGACCATTTCTAGGCTGCAGCAGAAGTTCTAAAAAGGTCACATTAAGGAGGTGCATTTGACCAGGAATGACTGAACCATCTGACAACGGAGGGCGTTAGAGTCCTCCCGGCAGAGGGAAACAAGGACACAGAAGTTAAGTCAGTGACAAAAGGCTGAATATACGCAGAGAGCACCAACACAGGGGACGAGCAAAGACACCTGTTGAAGGATGAGCTCAGTGCTCCCCCCAGGAACACTTCCAGAACCCACACCCCAAACCACAAAGCCATCTGTGCTTTGGGAAGATGACTGTAGGAAGAAAATGTGGGATTGAACAGCACAAGGACACACTAAGACTGAGTCCTTCTCACACATGCTCAGTCTATAGGGGATTTCAGTTTGTTTTGGTTTTTTTTTTAACCATTACTATCATCATTATTACATGTTTCTTCCCTTCCACAGCTGTAGATCAACAATGAATTTTGTTCCTTAGATCTTTGACATGCTATACTCAGCTTCATCCTTCTCCTTCCTTTGCAAGAAGAGATGCAGCCTCAAGGATGTGGCACATGCATCCCATTGGCCACCGACTTCAACTTTCTCAACATTAACAATTTGCTCAGGTACATTTACTTACGTGTGAATCAATGCAATACTATCACTGAAGGCCACTGAAGTATGCACCCATCTTCGGATCAAGGAACCCAATCAAAATAGACTCAGCAACGTGTTGTAGAGCCTATAACTTTCTCTTTCTCAATTCAAAATTCAAATCCCTTCAACTTTATTGTTGTTTCATGTTGCCTAGAATTCTCTGCCCTAAGTATCAGTTGGGAAAGACTGTCACAACGCTTTTGCCATCCGTTTGAGTTTGCAGCTCTACTGATACCCTTCCTAGCTGCATTTTCTACAGATTATTTTCAGAAACAAAAAAAAAACCAAGGGTAAAAAAATTCTCCATTTTGCCTAGGAGTCCCAATAAGTGCTTTGCACTGAACACAGTTAACATCAGTTTTAACAAAAAGCAAATGGCAGCTTCTCTGTTAGAATGTCAATTTTTAATTGCTGTTGCTAAATGAGCCTTAAGAATAAAAGGAGGTGTTAGTGTTATATACTTATGAATAAAAGGAGGTGTTAGTGTTATATACTTCTCAATGGAACGAAACAGTTCCTCAAAATAAATGAGCAAGAGACAATGGAATTCTACAATACTTGCTCGATCCTACTAATTGTCTAGTAACCTGAATATCATGCACTACCTTCTGCCTGTTCTAGAAGAACTCTCCAGAGATTCTTGCTTATAAACACTTCTGTAAAACACAGCATCTATTTGCAACAATGGGAAAGTCAGCCAAACATCTATCTACCCAAAAATTTTTAAAAATGTATTAAATCAATTCACACATAAGTGGGGAAAGAAATTAAATTATAGTGTCTATAATACACCTCACACAGTGAAGAACTGGGTAAGGTTTTACATCAGAGAAAAGAGTAAATCTTTTGATTTTTGCTTGTACTTCAGCAATTTTCCTAGGTAGCTTCCAATATTTCTCACCCTAATCACAATGATTAAATACTGAAAAGTATAGATTTTTAAATGACTTTGAAAGTAGACAGAGATAACCAGCAGGAATTGAAAGAAACACCTGGAAGGATATAGTGCAAACAGTGATTATCAGCTTTGGGTAGCGAAACCATAATATATTTCCTTCCTATGCTGTTTTGGAGGTTTTCCTAATTTGTTTTCAGTCAGTACATGATGTTATTATAACCATGGAAAATGGTACAAAGAAAGCAATGAGGAAGAAAAATGGTTGATTGGTTAGCTATGTGGAAAGGAAGTGATGCACCATGTCCTGCGGCTAGGACAGACGCTAAAGCCTGTACAGTGAGCCACTATGCTCCAGACACTCTTATATATTTTTTCCACCTTGAACAGGTATAGGAGTCTAACTTTAACACGTCTTCATCCTGCAATAAAACTATAACATTGCTATTGCTATCATTTTGCCTGAGAGGAAAATCAAAGTCCAGAGAAACTTCAGTACAGGTAGCCAGGTTCTCCCATCATACTGACCAATCCATCAAACCCAGGCTATGACATGTTGTGGAGGAATGGGACTCCCAAAATACAGGGCAGGCTGTATATAAAGAATGCTGCCTGTGGCAGTTTTACTTATTACATTTATGAATTTTTCTTCATGAATTACAGTGCAGATTCAAATAAAACTCTAAAACAAGGCACTGCGTGAAGGTGCCATGACCAAATAGTCAACTAAGAAAGCCATCTGCCAGAAGGCAACCTACTAACCCTCTTCATTTTCCTCTCTGTGACATTCTGACATGGTCAGATAACTAGACATAAAAAGTGGACACAGATACAGCTGAAGCACTGCCATAAAAGTAGTTAACTTTTGGAGAAAAGTCGGAAGCCTCAAAATAGACTTTGTGGGAAGAACAAAGAGCATCCAAAGTGAGTGGGCAGGTCTATCAGTTGTATTACCTGCGAGATGTAACCTGGAGGCACATGGATGGGAGGAATAGAACCGTTTGGTGACATCATGGGAACTTCCGCAGGTCCTAAAAGAGCAAACAGTGAAGACATTAATACTGGAAGAAATAAACATCACTCAGAATAATCATGGATGTTCAACATAATATCAAACTGAATATAACCAGTTGGACCATTTTCTCTTCCATCACTAGTATATTCTACCTTACACCTAGACCAGTAACCACAGATGAAAATGAATTCTTTCACGGTATAACTTAAGGAAAACAAAATCCATAAGCATCTTTCTTAATACTGTAATGTAGTAATATTTAAGAATACTGAAGCCTCAAGTTCCATCAACAAGACTGCTATGAGTAGTCTAAGCAAATTGCACAAAACCGTTTCTCCTTTTCCATATTTGTTAATACATGTTTAAAATCAAGCCAATTTCAAAATGAGCTCTTTTGGTTTAAAAAGCTCCCACGACACAAACATTTGGCCCAGCACTTTAAGAGACCATGTTACACTTTTGCATTCCATATTGCAGTGCCTCCTTGGAGTTACAGCTCCATTACACAGCCAATTTCCAACTTCCTGTTAAAACACACATCTTGGGGCGAAGGAGGTGATGTTTCCATTACTAGGGTGCTTGCCGCCATCTTGTAGACTTGGAATGGTTTGTGGGATCCTGGCTTTAGCCTAGCTCTGCTGGGCCGTACGCTGGCAATTGCCAAGGGGTTGGGGAATGAACCTGTAAATGGAAGACTCTCTCTTTGAAGGAAAGTGAACATTTGATAACAATGGAGCTCCTACATACTTTGGACTTCTAATGCTCAGTTAGTGAGTATTTTCAGTAAGTCACCATATTATGTCATTAACTTGAATTATAAGAAACTTCACTCCAAAACCAATTTGGTCTGTCTTACTCATAAGGCAGAAGAAAAATATCATCTTAAATTACATACTATTAGAAATATTCATGCCAAATTTACTTGAATTATTTCAAAGAAAGCATTCAATTAACACAAGGTTAGTTTCGAATTACTTGGTTCAAGGATGTTGATCATAATTTTGGGGGGCAAAAATATCAAAGTTACCAGTTACCTAAAACAGAGTTTGAGTTAATATTAACAAGAAAATTATTATCGAAATCATTCTAACATCTATCCAAAAACTCAGTGGGTAAGCAGTTTCTTCAGAAGTGCAAGAAGTTGATGATCAGGTCACTGGTCTGTCGGTAAGCTGCTCTCCTGTTCAGTAACCCACTGCCCAAATGTCAACTCACAACCCAGGGTTTCCAGTCTGGGATGAGACTTCCTGACTCCAAATGCCTTCTGTTGTTTATTTGCTTTCTCCTCGTGTGTACTGGGGCTGCCGGCAATGAAAACTGCTCAACTGGGAAAAAACCCAAGTGAAATATAACACTTTGGCAAAGGAAGATAGGTCTTGCCACCCAGGGCTGCATTTACATGCAATCACAATGTACCTTTCAACTCACAAGGCAGTCCAGTGTAATGCCTAGTTCTTAAAAGATGACATAGTACAGGGAAGAAGAAAGCCTTGTTGGCATACACATGAACAGGCTTGAAAACAGAAAACAGGCTTGAGGTCTGGCGCAGTAGCCTAGCAGCTAAAGTCCTTGCCTTGAACATGCCAGGATCCCATAAGGGCATTGGTTCTAATCCTAGAGGCTCTGCTTCCCATCCAGCTCCTTGCTTATGGCCTAGGAAAGCAGTCAAGGACAGCCCGGAGCCTTGGGACCCTGCACCCACATGAGAGACCTGAAGAGGCTCCTGGCTTCAGATCAGCACAGCTCTGGCCGTTGTAGCCACTTGGGGAATGAATCAACAGATGGAAGATTTTCCTCTCTGTCTCTCCTCCTCTCTGTCTATTTGAGTTTCCAATAAAAACAAAATAAATCTTTTTTAAAAAAGAAAGAAAACAGAAACATTGAAGCAACATAGAATAGGCGCATAACACACATTTCAAAAGATGAGTGCCACTCATGGACAACATACCAAATTACTGATCATTTTCATACTCATACAAATCCACAGCAACCTCCATATGTTAAAATATTGGCAATACCTTAAAGCAAAATATCAGAAAACCAGGGGACTGGGTCATTGCCTAACGCTACCTTATTTTTAAATGATCATTTGTTTTTAGTTAACAATTTATAAGGCATCTACCATTGGCTGAAGAGACCAGTTTCAATATTTTTTTGCTACAGCCATCCAGATGTTCATCCATCTGCTTAATATTTCTCTTTAAATTGACTTTTTAAAAAGCAAATCATGGGCTCCTTAGCAGCTTCAGCTGGAGCATGACCCGTGAGATGCATGGCTGTGTGTGCTTGGCTCCACGGGAATGATGTTCAGTGCAGGGCCACCTTGGTTTTCACCTCAGCTCACTAGTCAAATGGGTTGGATGACTTCACTTGTCCAAACGTTTAAGCTGGAGTAAGAACTCCCACTTCATAGGATTGTGCTTATAGATTAATTATCATAATACACACAAGAGAGCTTAGATCTGTGCAGGGCAGGATAATCACTCAGACAATGTTACCAATAATTGTCATGCTGTAAAAGAACATTTTTTGTTATTTTATTGAGAGCTTTCTACTGCTCCTTCTTGTTGTTCTTTTTCCTCCCCTCTTGAAAAAAGCTAGAATTAGTTTTAGATGTTTTTTATCTAGTTTTAGAAACTAATGGGTCTAGTAGGGCCTGGCGGCATGGCCTAGAAGCTAAAGTCCTCGCCTTGAATGTACCAGGATCCCATATGGGCGCCGGTTCTAATCCTGGCAGCCCCGCTTCCCATCCAGCTCCCTGCTTGTGGCCTGGGAAAGCAGTCGAGGATGGCCCAAAGCTTTGGGACCCTGCACCTGTGTGGGATACCCGAAAGAAGAGTTCCTGGATCCTGGCTTCGGATCGGCATAGCATCGGCCGTTGCACTCACTTGGGGAGTGAATCATTGGATGGAAGATCTTCCTCTCTGTCTCTCCTCCTCTCTGTATATCTGACTTTCCAATAAATAAATTAAAAAATCTTAAAAAAAAAAAAAAAGAAACTAATGGGTCTAGATACTTTTTTTTAAAGTACTACAGGTTCCCGGAAGACCAAACCAGCAAGCACACAGTCTGGTCAGCACTGACTTCGATGCGTAATCCTTCCTCATCAAGTAAAAAGTTAAATATTTCACAGTGAAGGGTGTGAACAGAAGTACTCTCACCGCAATAAATTATTGTGTTCTTAATCACCCAAACCTGCACCAGGCAAACAGTCCTTAGCTCCAGGCTTACCCACTGAAACTGTTCAAGTCATCTGTATAAAATTTTCTAAAGGGTGTAGGATGAGTGATTTATGGATAGAAAATGTTTTCCTCTTGGCCTTGATTTTAAGAGTAGCCAAATGACTTTCACATGATTCCTTTTGTCCCTGTCATCAAAGCCATTCCAAAGGACGTTTCAGGATACACAGTGAAAGCTCCCAGAACTAAAGTGTGCATAAGAACAACTACTGTACTTACAGTCCTTCAGGAGGACCTACAAACTAGCAAAAGAAAACTCCATTCATAGTGGTAACACGAAAATCCTTGTCTCCCTAAACGTTCACCTCCCCATCAATGAGCCCGCCGTGCTGTCCTCTTGCGCCACTGTCCATACTGACTACTGTAAGCCGTTCCTATCTTCAACACAAATTTCCTTGTCTTAACTTTTCAAGCTGGATTCTTCTTGGTCTTTAAGTCACACCCTCATACTAGAACTTAGAGAACATAACACAACAGGGCTATGTGCGGAACCATTTTTTCTGCCAAGTGCCATTTGTCACATGACTAAATAATTTTGTGGGCATAAAACAGCCTATGGACCAGATGTTCCTCACCCGTGCATGGTATAAAAAACAGTTTTCTTACTCGTATCGCCAGCGCCAACGCTTAAAGGGAAAAAAAAAAAAAGGAAAAAACCCTACACAGTTTTCTCAAATTCATTACTTGACTATACTGAGAAATCATTAAACTGCTTGAAATTAAAAACTCTTAAGGTTTCCAAAATCCCATTAAGTTACATGAACTGGTTACATACCGGAAGGTCTATGAAGATGTATGTACATAAAGATTAAACAAATTGATAATAAATCTATTATCCCATATAGAACACCTGGTTTGGAGTTCTGGCTCTGTTCCCCAGTTAATGGCTCAAGGACTCGGGTCTCTGCCACCTGCTTGAGGACACCCAAAAAGGGCTGCCACTACTGGCTATCACCTGGCCCAGCCCTGGCTATTGCAGACATTTACAGAGCGAACTGGTATATGGGGCATCTGTCTGTCTGTCTGTCTTTCAAAAAAATGAGCACATTTAAAAATTGTGCTACACTGACTACAAACATGAAGTAACATGCAAGATCTAAGATTTACTAAGTCACTTTAAAAATGTAACTGCAATATCCAATTATAGAATCTAACATCTTAAAGTCTGACAGCATTTGTAATAAATGAGCTGAGTTTCCATTTGTTTATAGTAGTGAAAGACCAACCTAACCATTCCGTTAATAATAACTATCCTATAACTTTATTCTCAGATCAAAGAAACTAAAGGAAAACCCAGCACCATTGTACTCCTAGCACCACATATGCTAATGGTGAGCTGCTGACCCCCCAAAGCTACAAGGGTATACTGTGCCTCTTCTCTGTTTCAATATTCTCTCAGAGTCCACACTTCTAGATGAACAATACTCTGATCCTATGTTCAGAACACTGATTTACTCTGGAAGAAAAGAAAATGAAAAGATTGATTCAAGACGAATATTGAACTGAAAACCTAAAATACAGATTTCTATGTTCCACTTCCCACCGATTCCGAACCAAAAGTTTTGAGGTTAGACCCAAGAATATGAATCTTCAACAAGTCCCCAGATGGCAACAATATTGCTCAGGAGATCATACTCTGATAAGACTTTATGGGTTAAAAGACAGCCAAAACCCACAGCTAACGTCACAGCAATGGATAAAGATTCAAGGCTTTTTTCCCCAAGATAAAGAATGAGGCAAGATGCGAGTTTCTACAAAGGCTATCCAACACTGTACT